TGGGAGCAGCCTACTATCTTACCTCCCCTTACCCCATTACATATGGGAACAAAGGACAACCGACAACCGATATTGTTGTGTTTACGTAAAATGAAGATATATTTTGTTAAAATTATTCTTTTAAAAATGAAGATTTTTAAATTAAATGCTTTGAATGAGTTTATAAGATTTTTTTTTTATAATAGAGGTAGTAAAGTGTTCTATTATGGCAAAGAGTAATAGATTAGAGTTGAAAGTTTAATTTTACAGAAGGATTTATAAATACCTTGTTGTACGTAAAGAAACAAACTACGAAGAATTCATATCATTTAAGTTGTTCGACGATTATAATTTAAGATCGTAAGAGATTAAAAGAAGACACTCTCGCTGTAGTTTAGGTTTTTGCAGTATCTACATCATTAAAGAGTAGCATGCACAGTGATCGGACCTGGAATTTGTCGCTGCTAGTTGGGGCTTGGAGGGGCCAAGGCTATGAAATGATTGAATCAATTATTGATGGATAAGCAATGTTTTGAAAATCGGATCGGACCGGCCGGTTCAACCGAAAATCGTTATCTTGTCTTGTCCATTCTACCCGGTTGAATCGGTTTTAGTGAACCGAGAACCATTCGAACCGGCTTTGAACCGTTTAAACCGGACCGTGAATTAGTTCAACCTAATTTTTTTGATTTTTTATTAAATATTTTTAGTATTTTTATTTAATTTTTTAAATAATTATGACGTCGTTCGGTTCTTACGATCGATTTAACTGATTCAACCAGTTGAACTAGTGAACCGATAACACGATCGGTTCGCTGGTCGGTCCGATTCTGAAAATCATGTGGATAAGAGCTTTTGTGGTTTGTAAATAGTGGACAGATCGAATGAGCGTTTTATCTTTTTACAATCTGACTTGATTGATATCCTACGCTCATCCATATGCCCCATCACACGTATTCGAAAAATATCGAATAATAAGCAAATCTATATTAATAATGTTATATTTAATTTAATTTTAATTTATAAAACAATTCAAATATAAAATAATCACTTAATACCGTTTAAATTCGACTCAATCTCAACCTTTCAAAAAATAAAAAAATATAACTGGACCCAATTTTTTTTTTTATAAAAATATCTAATCAAACTAAGTCGAATCAGAACATGTTGAGTTCAGGACAAATACCCTTCTGTTCTTTACAGATCAATAATAGTGGCCAGGGTAAAAGATGAAGAATGATACAAATGTGACCTTATCTGGTGGCGCACGCGTGTTATTAAGGCAGTGGGGGGACAAGCCATGACTGAAACTGATTAATAAGGTGAAGAAACATAAAGGGGAGTGATAAGGATAATCTCCATATGATTGTAGGAGCCTAAGGACCTATGTTCTTTTCCTTATTATATAAATAGATACTTTAACTTTGTAAATTTTCTAAATTGACATATAAATTTAGTGTTTTTTTTTCTAATTCAATACCTAAATTGACACAATATTATACAATTAAATTAATGATATCATAAAATGCTACTTATCACAATTTGATTGACGATTGAAATATCATATAAACGTCGTATATTAAAGTCAAAAATATATATTCATATTTACATATTAATTTAGAAAAAATAAACAAATTGTATAATACTTTAATTCCAAAGTGCAGTACATGACATATGATGTAGAGATTATAAAGGCATTCACTTTTTTGATGTAAAGTTTGTGAGATGGTGGAGGTTATATAATCCTATGACACGATTCATATGAAAAATATAAATATAATCACCAAAGTTGAAATTTCGGGTTTGAATATCGTGTATGTAGAGCATATAGATGTTCATTATCAAATAGTTGAATCTTTAAACAAATATTATATTTATCTCATATCTATATATAAGAAAAAGATTGTTTTAAATATCATTAAATTTAAGATTCAAATCAATTTTATTATGTAGTTTAAAATAATTTAATTATAATATTAAATTTTGATTTTAATGTAAGTATTAAACAATTAATTCATTAATAGTTAGGTGGATTGTGATTTGACTTTAATGTAGAAGTAAAAAAATATTTTTTAATTTACCTCATCTTCATCATCATCAAAATTAGTTTTTTACTCATTTTAATTCCTCACTAAAAACCACTATTGTTGAACATATTTTACAATCACTCTAAATCAATGAATTTATTTTATTGTCACCCTAAGCATCAATATATCAATAATTACATGATTAAGAAAAAAAAAATTAGAATGGTTTGATCAAAATCAAAGTTGAGAACCACTTTACATGGATAAAGGAAGAGGAAAAGCAGCAAGTAAATTAGAAGTGGCATCAAATCCAATCTAATTAAGGTATGAAAGGATGGAGTGAGATGTTTGAAGGAAGGTAGGAAAGAAAAGACAAGGAATGAAGGATCTAATACGGCGTAGGAAAGGTTGAAAAAGGGAGATGCCATCAAAATCCAATCTCTTCATTGATTCTGCAAATACACGATGAACATCATTCACTGTATCAGTATCCTATTCCCACACTAGATTATACTTGGGGTACATCAGAATTAAGCATGTGAGTGTATAATAACAGTGGCCAAGTGCAAAGGGTTTTGGTTTTAATTATTTATTATTACAGTGAGTTCGTTCATTCATTGGTTGGAAATGTGCTGTGACTCTTCTTCCTTTCAAGTTTAAAAATCAAATCGCCAGCTTTCCTTTCACTTTCGCTTTCCACAAATAAGCGTGAAGAGACCAAACTCTGTTTTTCTTCAAACCCTGAAATATACACACAAATGTAAATGAAAACCTAAAAAAGAAGAGAAATGTGCTGTAACTGAACCTTTGTCAACAGTGGTGGTAGGTCCGATGAAGTGAAAGGGCCATCACGCTAACTCGTGGGCGTAGATGCACGTTTACTATGAGGTCCTACAACATATATTACGTAATAAATATTAATATTATTATTTAATACATCATCACTCAAAAATTAATTCTACTTGTGATATTAAAATGATTATAAAGATTTTCAAATTGTTTTTATAACAATAAAAATATATAAATGAAATAATTTCACAAACAACCTACGAGCATCTTTACATCATTTTAAAAAAATTTAAAAGTATATAAATATAATACTTATATCAATTTATGAACGTTTATGAAATTATTTTCTTGATGTATTTACTGTCTTATACCTTTAAATAATTCAAGATGTAGGATAACCCTAGCCGTTCTCCCCTCCTCTCCCCCTCTCTTTTTCCTGGAGTTTATACCGTTGTCTATAGATCGAATCATGATTTTATTAAACAGAGGATAATACTGATTTTGATGCTGATTATTGAAAATCGATTTATTTATTTATTTTTCAGTTTTTAATAAGAATAATTCTACTTGTGGCATGTTTTTCACTACTTTTATGACATGTTTTTCTGTGTCTTTGTAACACGTTTTTCATTTTCTTTCTCGATCCCGTTCTTTTTATTTTATGTTTTCTCATGGTTAGATTTGGCGACGTCATGACGGATCAAGAAGACAATTATTTGTAATCATGTTGATATTACCTTTTATGGATCCTCATATTGAATTTAGATACATAATTTTATGATTGCTTTTATGAATATTTTGGAGGTTAATTAATCACATGTGAAAATTGAAATATAGCAAAAATGTGGGAATTGCGATCAAATCAAAGCTATATGACGTAGTGCAAATAAAAGCATCTGAGCTTTAAAAGAAAATAAAAGCATCCGAGCTTTAAAAGACCAACTTCCGGCAAAACTTTATATAACAAACATACAAAAAGGATTTCAATACAACAGAGTGCTGAATTCATGAAAGCAAATAAACAGTATTAAAGCTCAAAACTGCATTTTTGATGTGTGAGTAAATCTATTTACCACCCATACCGTAAGTATCCTTGAGCGTGACCGTGCGGTTAAACACGAGTTTTTCCGCAGTCGAGTCCTTGTTAACTGTAAAGTACCCTGAAATTGAAAACACGACAATCGACCATTAAATTGCCGCGCCTATGATATTATAATGATGTGGTTTTATGTCATCCAAGAATTTAGAGAAACAGAACCACACAAACAAAGCTTATGAAACCTACCTAGCCTTTCAAACTGAAATGTATCCCCTACAGCAGCATTTGCAAAGCGCTGGTACTGCAAATGCTGTAGGTATCACCACTTTGGAATTGGGGTTCAGATCAGCCAGCCAATTGTCGAGTTCCGCAGGATTCTGAATAAATATTCAAGTCATAAGAAGTCAAAGCAAGAAACGAGTCCAAGATACGAATAAATGACTGCAACCTCGGGATTAAAGAGTCTATCAAACAATCTGACTTCCACCTTCAGGGGATCATCCCCGGGTGAAGGTTGCTACCCAGTGGAGAACCCCCTGCACTAAAATGTTCACAAGTCAAATAAAAAGAGGGATTAACAGAAAACTCCTGGATGAAATCAAAAGAGCGACGAAGAAATTAAAAAGAAGGATCATATTCAGCTCGTATCTCGAGCACGGTCTCATTGTCATCGGCCAGTATTACATCTGTGCACTTTATGGGGAATGCATATATGCAGAAACGGGAACACAGAAGCTACTAAACTAAATCTGCAGAACAAATTGACAACATATATCCAAGTGTGTGTCTGTGTGTCAACACACAATGTATACCTTAGGAGGACTGACTTGCCAGGTGCCAACCCATAGTAATCATTAGAAACTTTCATTCGGAAATCAGAGCGCTCAATATATACAACACTTGAAAATGGCACATAAAATCAGCAGACAATAATTTTGGAACAAATTATAGATTGAAATTAATACCCAATATTTTTAATTGAATTAAAAGATAAATGAGCAGACAATGCTCAGTATCGTTCCAATGTGATTCTGAAGGGAAAATTGCAGATTATTCAAAGTTAATTTATAAGTTAAAACAATCTATTATTTATCCTCACCTTGAGGTCGTGGGATCGAGTCCCACGGAGGACATTTCATAATTCGGAGGTCTCCTACGAAAGCTGCTCTCAACCTGGTGTTGGGGCCAGCCTACTATCTTACCTCCCCTTACCCCATACATATAGAAAAAAAGGACAACCATTCAAGGTTGGTTATAACTACCTGAGAACAAAAAGAAGATGATGCATAGAATTGAAAGATGGATTTTAAACGAAGAATTCAGACTAGATGATGACCTTAAGTGGGTGTAGCACAACCAATACACGAGGTGCTGTCCTGTTCAATTCCTCTCTTATGTGATGCTCAAGGCGATCCAAGCGAATCAGACTACAATCACTGTGGCACATGTTAAAATATTAATGAAAAACTCAGAAATTTTGAAAAGCAGGTTTGCCATAAATTTATGTTACAGGCCTACATCTAGATAAAATAAAGAGCATTAGATGAGAATGAAGATATGCATTTTCAACCTTCTAGTGATTCCATTTCCTCGAACAAAAGCATTTATCGCAGTTGAAGTAACGCCCCTACACCGTAAACCAGCTAATGTCATGGACACGGGAATCATCCCAACCATCGACATATTTGTTCGTCACAATGTAATTTAACTAAATCACATCATAGTAAATGAACATTATATTTTTATTTTAATCAAATCAAAACAACTCAATGAAGCCATACAAAAAATCTTATTTTCTTTCACCTTTCGTTTAGACATCACCAAAGTTATCAAAGGCTCAAGGCGCATCGAGGCGCATAGTGTCCTGGAGCCTTAAGGCACGAGGCGCATGAAAGGCGCCTGATTCACGAAGACGAGGCGCATGATATCCAAAAAATTATAATACATCATTCAATTTTCTTTATATACGTACGATTTTAGTTTAATTATCATGTGTTAATTTAAAACAATAATTAGAAAACTATACTAGAATGCACATCAACAAGAGAAAAGGCACAAGAATATCAGACAACATCTATAACAATAGTGGGATGATAATAAATTAGAAAACTGATTTTGAAGGAAAAATATCTAGGCTCCTACGTTCAAATTGTCTTTGAAAATGCATGTGTAAATTCCGCATATCCTTATACATACAAGCTTGATGATCTATATTGCACTTGCATATTTCTCTACGTGTGTACTATGCAGGCTAGCACGGGTGTTTTGATCATTTGCATATGTTTTCATGGGTATAATAGAAAGACCACGAGATAGTGAGAGATAACAAACTGTTTGTTCGATAACGTCCCTCCAAAATTACTGACTTCTTCTCTTCAAAAATTCCATTGGCGGTATGTGTAATTTCCTCTACAGAAGCTTCAACCCCCTGTTAAGAAGTACAATTAAGTAATCATAAAAATGGCACTAAATAAGACTCAACCTATAACGAACAAAAAAAAAAGTTAACAACAAATTTAGGAAGCAAAGCCATTGCATCCTATGTTATCATTCATTGAAAGTGTGAACAATCTTATACATATCAACGCCACAAGCTTCTTCAAATTCTTTCTTTTCAAAATTCTCAGATGCAACATTCGAGAGAAAAGAAAATGCAACTTCTAACTGTGCCGGAGTCTTAATCTGCAAAAAGTTGACCAGCCTTAAAAGATGGTAATAAAACGAAGCACCCCCTAACAATTCCATCCATGATTCCCTTTAATTAAGCTAAACAAGAGTGGAAAAAACAAAGATTAAATTCTAACCTTAGAGGACACAACATATTCAAGTCAAACTGGACGATGAACAAGAGCATTCGCAGGGTACTTCGTGGCAACGTATGATACATACACAGCAAAAATCATCTCCAATTTTTCAGCTAGAGAAATATATAACTAAATACAAAGAAATTAAACAAAAAATGAAGAATTAACTTACAGTATATATAAGATTTCCAGTAGTACGTTCACATCCATTTGTCAAAGCAGCGTAACGAAAAAAAAAAGATTGAAACGGGTAGAATTATTATTAGAACAAATTATAAAGAAAAAAAGAAATCCAAAGTAGAGACGGAAAAAAGAGTAAAGTGAAGAAAGAAGAACCTCGTGGATAACAGCGGTGACCTTGTTGTTGGCGACGGTGTTACGAGCAGTTCGTTCGTCTAAACCAATCTTCAAGAAGAGCTCTAAGGATTTATTCGAGTTTGACAACCATTATTCTTTCGGATTGTGTTGGAGAGAGAAAGTGTTGGCTTTGCTGTGCAAGGGCTGATGTAAAACCCTACAACGAAAAAACAATAGTAAAACAGAATCTCGAATATCAAATATCAAATATATATAGGAAAATGAAATCCACGGGAATGAGATTCTGTGGAAGATTCCCTTGGAAAATTTGGTACTGATTCTAAGATATTTTTCTTTATTAAATATATTTAGCCATAGATTTTTCTTGTGTACCATACTGCCATTACCATAGATAATAACTAGGCAGTATGTTGCATTTTTTTAGAATTCACAATTTAAAATTGTTTATATTTATAGAAGTGTGTAGAAATTCATTCTTTATAAAATATAATTAAATTGAACTGAATTAAACTGAGTTAATTCGATTAAGTGAATTTGTTAATATATTTTATTTAGACATTTAATTTAGTGTTAATTTATTGAATTAAATTAAAATTATGATTAAATTAATTGAATGTGTAAGTATTGGGGATCAAATGTCTAATTATATCAATTTTACTAGTTGTCACGTCAACACTTCCATTAAATGTTAACGACATATAATTTGATTGAAACCATTTAAATAGTTATGTGATCGTATTTACAAAATTGAAAGTATGATGGTTATATCAACACTAACCCCATAGTCAAGTGGTCACTTTAGTAGTTTACCCTAAATATATATAGGCAAAATACAAAAATTAGCCCATGATATTTATCAAATGGTCATTTTGGTCCCTTTTTTGAAGCTCTAGCCCCCAATATTTTATTTTGAGACAAAAAATCCCTTTATAGATGAAAATTGTTATTAATAAATGGATGAGCATCCAAAATAAGGGTCTTTTATCCTAAAATGAAATGTTGAGGGCCAAAATACTTTAGAAAAAAAAAGAATAAGGACCAAAGTGACTATTCGAACAGATGTAGGTGTATTTTTTTACCTAAAATGAACCATTATGGTTAAAATGCTCTAAAAATACAAATTGGAATGACTATTTTAATAAACATTGGGGACTAATTTTAACATTATGCCATATATATAATTATTTGATTTTTTTATAGACAATTATTTGAATTTTATCGTTTTCAATCAACATGCATATTTGTATTCACATATTAAAAACACCAATGTGCATTGTTGGGAAAAGGGTAATAAAATAAGGATTAGACGATGGAAACTTTGTATGTAGGGTTTGGACATGAGTATTGTCTCAAGATTCCTTTTGTTTCTCTCTAATAATAATGCTTCACAGACACATCCCTTTGTTATCCCATTCATACACTCTTCCTCTTGTCTAGTGATGGATTGAGTGACCGGTGAAGTAGTCACTTCCCTGAAAATTTAAAATTATCATATATTTTAGATTTTTTATATATATTTTTATTGAAAATACACTTTTATCTCTAAAACATCCTTTTAAAAATTTACCCCTTACATAAAATTTTACATTAATCTATGCCCTTGTCCCTTTCCCTTGGCTTCTTTACCCAATAATGTGCTTAGCTCTTTTTATATAAGAAAATTTCTTTTTATAATAAATATCTTATTTTTCGATTGTTTTGCTTTAAAAGTGTTTTTAAATATATAGGGTCTTAAATCAATAAAATTTTGAAACATTGTGGGTGAAAAAATATTTGAGAAATGCATGTGTTGAAAAATTAATTTGTCCGTATGGGTCATAGAAAATTGTATGAAATTCGTCATGTTTTATGGAATTCGTTATTTTCATCCGACGAGTTCCAAATACCCTGTAGTAAATAGCATAGACTGCAAATTGTTGAACTATCTGAACTAGTGAAATGACCAAGAAGAGGTGAATTGACAATTAAAATATTAATGGAAGCTTTTTGCAGGAATATGAAAAATTGACACAAGCAATTTAGAGTGATTTAACTTCCTTAATTAAGTCTACATCGACTATCTTAACTTCCACACTAAGGATTTCAACAAATTTACTAATTTGTTCAAACCTTTTAGGACAAGATGTAAACTTGCAACACACTTAGACTTATACCCCCAAAGTCTCAAGTATACAACACTTCCTAAGAATAAATTACAAATAGTAAACCATGAAAAATCCCTTACAACGAGTGTGTTTACACAATTCAAAACAAATAGAACACTTAAGAAAATGAAAGAAATAAGTACACACGTGTTCTCGAAAGCCAAAGGAAAATTTGAGAATGTTGACTTGATTTTTGACTCTATGTGATTGCTTTGGTTTTCTCTTTGATCTCTTGTCTTCACATATGACTTGAAATCTTGTTTTTATACTCCCTCATTCAATTCGATTCGTTTGGGTTGTTGTGGGACTTAATAGAGTGTTGGGATGAAGTTTCCCAAAATAAATGTTTCCCAGACGACTTGAGTGTCGATACTCGAGCTTGGAGTATCGGTACTACCAACGTTAAATATAAAAATATAGTTGTTTGGGAAGGGGGTATTGGTACTGATCATTGGAGTATTAATATTAAAATGGTATATTGGATTTTGACATTCTTAAAAATATAAGGGAAGTATCGGTATTGCCTCCTGGAGTATCGATACTAGCTGAGTATCGGTACCAAAATAGCTTATTGGAATCTACACAACAAAGGGAGTATCAATAATGTTTTGTATTTTTAAGTTATTAGCATCGATACTATATCGATACCTCATGAACAATATCGATACTTCTAGGTTTGAAAATAATTTTTGACTCGATTAAAGTTCGAAACCCTTTATAAAATAGTTTCAAAATTATTTCCAATATATGCCTCAATTATTTTTAATAAAGTAAGGAGTAAAAAGGAGTTTTTTACTCTAAAACGAATTTATATATTAAAATAACCAAATCAAATATAATCTTAAAATTTTTAAATATTAAATAATTTTTGATATATCAAAATATGATTAAACACAAATTAATTTTCAAATACCTATATTTCCCCAAAACAATTTCCGTCTAAATATTTGACCAACAAAGTCGCCTTAAATCTATGTATTCTAACTTAAATTTAGTCATATTATTGACAATATTTTAATTTAATACATTTTTTATTTAATTCATATAAATTTATTTTACCTTAATTTCATTTCTCTTAATTCAATTCCAAAAAAAATTAATTAAATTAAGATACTACAAAATATTCATTAACTCAACTATATTATTTTTTCCCACTTAATTAGATTTTTTTATTAATTTGGGGTAAGTAGAAGGTAGTATGTGTTCAAATATAACCCTCAACCATTTGATATTGAACGCTTGCGTGAGCCTCTGGCATTTATAGTGTTCGGGCAAAGAATAACAACAATTTCTTTACCCACCGAGGTCACTCAATTCGTGCCCTACTTAATTAGATTGAATACTCATCTTTGCTTAAAATAAAATTAGACCAATCAAAGATCCTATTAGACATTGTTTTGAAGGATTAATATAAAAAAAGTATTCAAACTATATCGTTTTCCCCAAAGTGATGCCTAAATTTTTTTCGGTCAATCCAAGTGACTAACGTTACAAACATTACAACTTTAAGTGTCTCGGTCGTAACGATGTTAAAAGAACCCTTTAAGTAATACGTGTCACATTCTGATAATTTTATTTTAAAAAAACTTTAAAATATTATTATATTAAAAAAAAACCTTATTTTCCCCTAAAATTACAAAAAAACATAAATCCCTAACCCTAACCCTAATCTTACATCTATTGCCGACCACAGTTGTTGGCGCCGATGTCACCCTTATCATCTCTCTTGTCTGTCGTCGTCAGCCTTGCCTTCAATATAGTCGTCCGAGTCATTGTGTGTAGCAAATCGCACTGGTGTCACGATTTTTTAAACTATCGGGTTCGTCGGGTTTTGGGTGGTTGGAATCATCTTGTCATCGACTGGAGGTTTGATCGGATGAGGATCCGACGGTAATGGCGACAAAAGCGGCGGTCGATGATGGTATAGGATTGAAATTAGAGTTCTCAAAGTTTTTGGGGTTATTTTAAAGATTTTTAAAAGTTTTGAGATTTTTTAAAATATTTTTTTTATTTTTTATTTTAAATAAAATGTTTAAAATTATATAAATGCAACACATCATTTGACAAAATATTTTAACAACCATTGCGGTCAATGTGTTTAAAGTGATAATATTTATAATGTTAAATACTTAAATTAATCGAAAAAAATTTGTAGACAATTTTAAAAAAGATAATATAGTTTGAAGACCGTTTTAGTATTAAGACTTTTTAAAAAACAAGTATCGATTCAACGATTATATATGACATTATCTTAATTATTTATATATAATATATACACGTAGATCTGATCCAAGTAATCCAAGCTTATTATTAACTAGTTTTTGTTAGACTATGATTAGACGGCGAGACCAGAAATTCTCATCTCAAATTATTAATATTCTGTCCAAGCAATAAAGTTTTCTCTCCCATTCGCCATTGTTGCTAGATACACAGAAGCATGTTTTTGTGGTTGAGCTAACACTGCCCAACTATGGCAAATGAAGTTTTATCAGAGATTTCAAGCCCAAGGATGTCGTTTTCCAATGATCTCGAGGGTACAGATTCCATTGAAGAATGACACCATCAGAGATTAGACACATCGCTACTGAATTCATCGTCGGATTTCGATTTCTGCTTCGAGAATAGTTTCGTTCAAGAACTACCCTAAGCCGATGAGCTCTTCTCCGATGGCAAGATTCTACCGATCTAGATCAAGCGAAAACCTTTCGTCCCAATACAAGTTCATCGTCAACCCGAGCCGGTTCCGGTTAGTTTCCCGACGGACAACTCGGGGAAGAAAAGGTTGAAAGAATTTCTGTCGATGAGCATGGATGCCGCAGACGACAAGGCCGCATCGAAATCGTTCTGGCAGTTCAAGAGAAGCAGCAGCCTCAACTGCGAGAGCACTCGAAGCAAAAGCCTGATCCGACCACTTCAATTCCTCGCTCGCAGCAATTCGACGGGTTCGGCTCCAAATCCGAAAGAAACCCGTCAAAAACATACGTTCCTGAAACAGCCATCTTTGTCGAGAAAATCATCGGCATCGAGTACGTATTGCACTTACGGTAACTCGACACAAAGGCCGCCATTAAAGAAGAGTTGTGGAGCACATGGGAGTAGCGGTGTTCGAGTCAGTCCTGTTTTGAATCTTCCGCATCCGATCATTTCGAATGTGAGTGCGAGTTTTTTGGGGTTGGGTTCTCTCTTCTGTAATGGTAAGGTTAAAAGGAAGAAGAGATGAAATTTTTACAGTTGGGTTCCATGAAGGAGATGAACTAGATTATATCAGAAGCACATGGAGGTATCTGGTTCAAGTTTTAATGTGAGTTGAAACAATTCATGAAATGGATGATGCATATGGACTTGGCAGACCAGTCATCATGGTATTTCTCTTATTTTCACAAGTTTTGATATTCATATTGAAAGATTTTTTTTTGAGAAAATATAAACGTTTTGATATTAATATTATTGCGAGTAGTTACCGATGACCGATATTGATTGACCAAAGTGATTTTTCTTTTCTTTTGAAAAGCTGGAAAATTAGAATCACATAGTAAATGATTTAACGACTTAATCTGAAAATTTTAATGACAAAATTGATTGTAATTCAGTGATCTAAACAAAATAATGCTTAAAGTTTGTGATTGATGAAGTATTTTTTTTACTTGGATTAATGAGGTAGCTTATCCCAAATACAATGGTTTAAACATATAAAACACTATGGTGTTGGGTTGGGCTACTGGCCATCTCGATAATCAGTCACTCTACCATGCACGGCTGATGATTTTGAGAATGAACAGACACAGTATCTTATGTTATAGAGCAAACTCATAAAATTTTAAAGGGAAGGAACTTATAAAATTTTAAGGAGACGAAAATATATTATCGTTTTAAAAAACATACAAAAGATTTTAAATATAAGAGAATTTAAAAATTTCATGAATGATTGTCTCCATCCATCCCTCGAACCATTCTTGATTTTGAGTGTGATTATACACCAAAAATTTTGACTAAAATGTTATAAGAGGAGAAAACTTTGACCAATTAAAATTGTTGTTAGAGAACTCAAAGAATGGGCATAGCACCTCCCAATGGTGGTGTGCCTAAGCTCAGGGCCGGGGCTAGGACGTTGGAGGTCCTGTGCAAATTCTTAAAAAGATGTCATTTTTCGTAAAGTGAGTAATACTAATTATTGGTATTTCTCATATCTTCTTTCGAACAAAACTTTTTGGACTCCTTTTTTATAGTTTAATCATTTACGATAATACCAATAATCTTATTGTGAACTTTTTGGGGCCATTGCTATTCCGGGTCCTGTTCGGTCGCACACATTGTTCATGCCTAGCGCCGCCTCTGCCTAAGCTTGGGATGAAACCTTAATCTTCATCCATGTGGGTGACCAATTACTTTGTCCCATGAAACATGGCCGACGTGTGTATTTGAAGTTTTAAATCATAAAAGTAAAATAATTTACATATATCCTATTTTAATGTGGTTTAAGTCATAATGAATTTATGGTGCTATATTTTTTTGTAGGTTTATTTAATTTGCAGGAGTCTCTGATGGAGTTCTGATGAGCAGCATAATAATGGTGTGATCAGATCATTGATGCAAATGCTAAAACTTCCATGGGGAATCCAGAATATACATGCGTACAGACAAGGGAATTTCGTTGCACACTGGATTGAACTTTTTAAATATTATGACGTTATTAGGGATGGGCATCGGACCCGAACCCGATTAGGTCGGGTTTTTTTTAAAAAAAATGGATTCAGGTCGGGCCGGTCGGATTTTTTAAAAGATTATGTTCGGGCGGGTTGGATTCGGGTTTAAGGTGAAAAATACCCGATCCAATCCTAAAAAATATAATTTTACATGATATATTTAAGAATAATTACAATAATAATCCTTTATATATTATTTTTTAATTAAATTATTGTTTTTATTGAATAAAAATAATATTTTTATTATTTCAGGTTTAGTCGGATCGTGTTAGGATTTTATCTAAAAAAATCGGGTCGGATTCGAGTCGAATGGAGGATATATACTTTTCAGGTCAAGTCGGGTCGGGTGAAGAATGTAAAATTTCCGGGTCAGGTCGGGTTGTTCATCCCTAAATGTTATGTTGATATTAAAATTTAATGATTTTAATTTAATGTTAGAAACCGATCTTAGGTCAGTTTGTAGTGCGGGGGATTGTAGTTTAAAATTTCGAGATCCTTAGGTCGCCGGTTCGAATCCGCAGGTCTGAATTTTGAAGTTGTTTTTGATCTGGTGTTTCTTAATATTGACAATAATATACATCATTTATGTTAAACTCAATGGCAAATCAATCGAGTTATTGAAGTAAATAGATAAAAATATTAACAATTTAACCCTTTGTGGCACGTGAATGATGGATTGTGGATGACATGTAAAAGAACCATTAAATAAATAATACTTTAATCTAACACGTTAAGAAGAACTCAAAATTAAAATGTCTCATTTACTGATTTTTATTTAGAGAGTTTTATATACAATTTGTTAATATAAGGTAAAAAATGTTACAAATCGATTGTAACCGAATTTTTTATCAAAAATATAATTTTTAAGTTAGATATTATGAAATTTTAGGTTGAAATAAAAAATATTACATTCTTCATAATATTTTTTATACAAATTTATAAATTTTCCTGTTGTAAATCTTAAATCCACCATAATAATACCTTAATAATACTTTAAGACCCTATGGACGAACCCTTGGAGTAGTTCAAGTGGTTAAAAAAAGTTTATTCTACTTTGATAACCAGTTTGAAGCAATATTTACAAGGATGCATGAATTTAGATTTAGATTTTTGGAAGAAAAAAAATCTCATGAACACATCAAAGAAATAAAGGACAGTAAAAGGGGGCTTCGGAGAGAATATGATAGGACACGTTTTCATGCTCAAAGAGCAGCCTCTCCTCTCGCAATATGCGTCGACATTTCTAACTACCTCCCTTTATCTATTGCATACGGATTATAACACAGGATCACATTCTTTTAAGATTATCTCACACATTCGTCAAAACTCACAGTTTAAGTGAAACTCAAACTCTAATATTAATCAAAGTATTAATGAGTGTTTAACTAACTAAATTCAGGATCGAAATTTACTACCGAATGAAATGACACAATCAAAAACACTATCTGATTCAATCATTGTAATCACAAAATCAAATCTAAAACCATTTTCTTCTATTTAAAACCCAACACTTTACTTGCAAGTTCATTCACTTGAGATTGAAGAAGAAGAAGAAGATGAAGAATGAAGATCATAATAAAACTAAAACTAAAGCTTCCTTTTACTGAAATTACCACTTCTTTGATAAAAAAATGAAAGAAACTCCCAGTTCTTTGATTAAAAATGAAAGAAATTCCCAGTTCATAAAGGTCTGAAACTTCTCCTTCCCGCTTGTTGCAGCTCCGTAATTATCTCTGTAGAAAGCCAGTTATCAAGATCTTTAGATTCTTTAACACTACAGAGATATCGAATCAGACCAACGGTTTCAAAAGCTGCAAAAATTTCTTACCTTGCCGTTTTCACCGTTCTCCGGGACCTTGTAGGAATCCTCCGATACCTCCGATAACCACATTCCGGGAAACAAAGACTGCGACCCAATAGAAAAGATTCAAATAAATAATGAAAAAAAGGAGAAACTATTACAGAAAACAATGCCGAACTCACATCCAATTGCTTCTGAACGTGGCGTGCCCGTTTCTTCGGCCTACCCGGAGGGCGACGCCCAGTTATCGCCATGAAGTCCTGCTCGATCTCTTTCTTTGAAAGAGAGACCGAGAATTTCGGTCGTGGTCTTTTCTCATCGGCTGCAGCCGTCGAAGAAGTCGCCAACGGAGAACTATAAATGTTGTTAGTTCCTTTCCCGACAATCGTAGTCTGCCACGCGGCACGCCTTTTTCGGAGATTCCACGGCCTCGTCTCCTCCACCTCTGCCGTCGGCAATTCTTCCTTCTCTATCTCTTTTCCTTTCCGTTTAGTCTCCTTAAACTCCTCGTCAACGGGCACTTCATCTCTAAAAGCCGCACCCATAATATCATCCGCCGCCGTTTTCAGATCCTTCATGATCTCCTCTCTAACTGCCCCGATACCCTCCGCCGCCTCTCCCGTTGATATCTTCAATTGCGCCCCCCTTCCACTATCGTGTTTCTTCGGACACGACTCCGGTTCCGGCCGTCGCATTCCACCACCCACTATCGAACTCCCGAGGGATGACCGGCGTGCACGTATCACATGACGACGAGGACGACGCAATGAGTCAACGGGAGTGGAAGCATCATCGTCTAGCTTGAGATGCGTTTGATTGGTCCACTTGAAAGAAGGTAGGTTGAAATTATGCAGAGGCTTCGATCTCTCGGGTTCCATCGCCCTGTCTCTCTGATTAGAATACACCATTGATCGCATCCAAAAGATAGAGCGAGCTCAAACTTGAAAACCCCAGAAAAAGATGGATCTTTTTTGTTTAAATTCCCTTTGATAATCGCCGGGAAGCAAAGCCAGCTGATTCAGAGGTTTTGATTTATAGAATAGTGCAGGAGGGCCATTTCAAGCTTTTGACGTTTGGGTTATGAGATCCTTTAGGCTTTTTTTTTGGGGTAATATCGTGAATTTGGGAAGTCGGTGTTTCGAGTGGACTTCTTGTTGGGTTCGGCAGTGACCCATTTAAGAAAACAGAAATCAGGTTTAAACTTGTTTTGGGCCTATAGTGGTGGTCCATCTCTTTTATTTGTTTGGATAAACTATATCGTTTAAATTTTGTACATTTTTTTCTACTGAATTTAAAAAATATAATATTTTATTATTTTTATTTTTATTTAATCTATATGTAATCACTAAGAATTAACTATAATAATTAGACCTTTAATGGATTACTGGTGTAATTAAATATATAAAATTAAAAAAATAAATTACGTAAATAATCATTAATATTTAAATAAATTTTCGTTTTTCCAAATAAAGTTTACCCTTACAATCTTATATTCAACTTGTGAGGGGTTAGAAAATAACAGCAGATGCGGTTATTTTATTAAACTAATATAGATGAAGAGATTAGAAAAGCTTTATCTGATGCATTAGACATAAGTGGTTCAGTTGAGTTTGAACCCTTTAATGGCACCACATCTTATGTAGAACCAAGGAGATATGCTTCAAGCACAGAAAATATAGTTAAGTTGTTGAAAGGGTGGATGAGAAATCCCTTGAAAATGTCTGATTCTCCAGATTCTAATGAAGAAGGTACTGATCCACTGATGGAAGACAATATCAGTAAGGGGATGGCTCAGGGTTTTCGATCAGTTTTAGAGTTTGAATCTTTAGATTCTTCCATTTCTGATATGTCACCAGAGGCAACAGTGGCGGATGCACTAAGTCCCCATAGAGGCATCCTATTATTTTGGAAATGTGGTTAGATTTAGCTTAATGTGTTAAGTAAAAAAGAAAAAAAATTACAATTTTTGCGTTCCTATTATTTTTAAGAAAAAAAATTAAAATTTGGACCTCCATTCTTAAATTTCTGGATCCGCTACTGAGAGGCAAGTCTTTCACAATATGAAAGTAAGCTAAATCTTAGTGCCCGTATCCAACTTCCATAGCTAGGAATGGCTTTTTGGTGTAAATCAAGGTAAAGATTACCAACTTTGTGATTTGGCATTAGATGAACATTTTAATTTTTTTTTTCGAAAGGGGAATGAAGACCAACATAGACGTAAATGACGCTGATTCTGAAGGAAATTCTACTCTGCATTAGTCCCTTACAATATTCTGGGGTTCATCTTCACAGCAGCTTGTCTCTCCCCCCCCCCCCCCCTTTCTTATGGTCGATTCCTTCTTGCCAAAATCATATGGCTCCTACTTAAGCGAGGTGCCCAAGTAAACCAAAAAGACAAATTAGAATAAACTGCTTTCCACATTGCTGCTGCCAAGGGGAATGGACAGACACTAAAATTAACCTTCAAAAGCTAACAATAACTGATTTGTTTTACTTAATCAAGTCTTTAAATTTAAAAGTTAATAAATATAAAGTTTTTATGGTAAAAAATTATTGCTGACCATTATGATGTCGATGCGATGGTATACATTGTTAAAATGATAGTTTGTATATGAATGATATGTAAATCATCATGTGAGTACCATTGCTTGTTATCATTACAGTAGTACTTTTGGTTGCGATGCTCTTATTACAAATTCACAATTATGGTAATAGTGAATATTATTACGAGCATTATGAGTATCGTGTACAATAACGATTTTGGACGATATATTTACTGTTATATAATGATTGTTGTTATGATAACGAACTGCTATTTAAATCCTAACTCGCATCGATGATGGGTAAAAACTTTGTAAACCGTTGCACTGGTAAATTTTCCTATGAGATCTCCTTTCCAGCAGCACAAGTCTCTGGCATCACTTTCATTGGGCGATTTAATGTTAAGGATGTGTGATATCACTGACTCTTGGAACCATTGCTTAAGCAAGTCCCAATTCCAATCTCCATTCATATTAGAGACCCCTACTATATTTATACCTAATAAAAAAAAGTAACTGCTTAATTTGGGTTATATACATTTTTCTAATCAACTGGGGCCATAATCCAAATTATAATAAAGATTTATAATTGTAACCATAATACATAATAAAGACATTTTTTTTTGTAATTATTAACATAAGAAAATTAGTCACTTAATATTATCAAAAGGACCATACAAGAAAAATATTAAAAACCTAATCAAATAAGCTCGAACAAAAGGTAGATACAAATAGATTTGATCATATCGGTAAATGAATCACAAAAGGGGATCAAACTATTAAAAGACCACTGACAAACTACAAATCAGAGTCGAGTGTTGTGAAAAAACTATCCAAGAACGCATTCAAATCCAATCCGAGAGTTCAAAGCAGGGTAAATTAGCATGATAATAAATAAGCGTCATCTTGATCAGTCACGGCGATGTCAAATCTATCACTGAGAAAAAAGATAAATGAAAACAACGGTTAAACGATCGAAAATCGTACCATAAAGGTAGAGAAAAACGTGTCATAAAAACAGAGATATTAATAATTAAAAAACAAGAAAAATAAAGACAAACTATAATAAAATAAAGGAAAACAATGAGTATCGGAGGTCGATGACCAATACTAAGATTAATACCGTCGATGATCATAAAAAAGAAAAAAGAAAAGAGGCTAATGATGACGGGAAAAAAGAAAAAAAAAATTAAAATAAACCCTTTTCAACTCAAATATATTTTTTCTTTGGAAATAATAATAATATATTATTAACAACTAATAAGTATACTTTCATTTCCTAAAGTTATATCTAGTTATTGAGTGATACATTTGAAAAAATATCAATGATATATTATCGATTAGTAATATGAGTAATGCATATATATTTTATTTGAACGGTTTCATTCAAAGAAATTAACCGTGAATAGCATTGATTATAAGAAAAGGAAACACCAACAACAAGCACTTTTCTTCTTCTTCTTTCTGGCTGCATGGTTTCGTGTGTACAATCCAACAATTGGCCTTTTACTTTTAAGTTTGATAAATCAAAAAATCTGGGCATTTATAAGACTTCATGTTCACTTATTTATGTCTTTTAACTAGCTTGTTTAATGCTTCTAATCTTAAAGATGATTTAAGACATAGATTTGATTCAAAATAAAGTAAATATTTATTTCGTTAGACGTTGATGATTTATCTCTTATAATTTGAAAGAAAAATCACATCCGACAATGATATAATCGTTAGGTGATAATATTTCGTGTGAGGAATGAAATGAAAATAGAAGAAAAGCATGAGATAAGTGAGGGGGAATTTGATGAGTGTTCAGAATAGTTAATCTTTGCTCGTTATTTCTTCGATTTTGTGGAATTATTGTTGTTGAATTGGTCGTGTTATACTTATTTTTGTACATGTCCTTGCTTTCCAGAATTTGTGACAAAACGGGTGAATTCTGCATTTTTTATTATTTAGTCACGGCTGGAGACATGGGCACGACTCTAGGCACGACGCGGTCTGACGTGGCAGTTTCTAGAAGGTCCAGTCAGCGGCGGTTTCTAGAAGACTTCATCCGCACGCCTTCTGGAGGATTGACGAGTAGAGTTGTATTAGGAGACTACTTTAAGTTTGAATTTAAATTTAAAAACAATTGTCTTTTGTATTATTTTTATTATTTTCTTTGCTTATCCTTTAGGCTTTGAGAGGCTATAAATACCCACTTGGGGTAAGCCTAAACTCATCATTCGGAATACATTCTTCTTTTCTCTCTAGTTTTTATAAAAGTTATCTCTTTTTCCTTTTCAAGTTCTTTTATTTTTTTATTTTCAAACTTGTTTTTAATATGCTAAGTATGACAAAAGTCATACTTAGCTAAACTTTTCATAAGCCAAGAGCTGTCGCGATGACTCAATTCCAACGGGAGAATTGAAACAGGTCCCTAATATCTTCGGAAATCTCTCTCAATCTCTGTGCTTATTCTTTTTCAAAATCAAAACAGTTTTCAAAATCAAATATTGACTTTGGTCAAGAGGTTGTTGCGATTAAATGTCTGGGAGGAAGATTCGGCTTATAGAAAGCAATTCGACTTCTTGGGAACACACTTGGTGAGATAGCTTCGCCAAGAGGGATTTGAGATCGGAATTGACGGTTATAGAAGCAACAATCCGAGTCGGTCGCCATGAACTTAAACGGTAATTGGTCTACGACAATAGATGTTGATAGAATCAATTCCCGAAGCCGGAATCAAAGATTGCCTTGGGTATTCGGTATATAAGATAAAGTCACGGGGATAGCCCTCGTAGACAAAGTAACCGACGTGAATCCCAAAGAGAAAATCTTATTCGATGATCTAAAGGAAATTGAGTCAAAGCAAGGCTTGAGGCTATTTTTACCGTATTTATTCACAACCTTTATTCTCTTATTTTTTTTTACTTTAATCACTTTTATTTATTTAATCGTTTTTTATTACTACTTAAACCATTTTACTATCTTTCACACCTGATATAGACCAATCAAACATAAATTAAGAATTTTCCAAGTCCCTGTGGATTCGACCCTACTTCTCTACGCTATGAATTTTTCTTTATTTATTATCCGAGAAGAAGGAAATTATTTTGACATTGAAACAACAGTTGTCAAATTGGCATCGTTGCCGGGGACTTCGCCAAAGTTACTAATTTTTGTTTGCTTTTGATTTATGACCAGGACTAATCCGGGCACATTAGTGGAGTATGACACGGATATCAAAGCTAAAGCTAGGAGACTCCACGCACAGACACTTCGGGAAAGAAAGAGACAACAAACAAATCCAGAAGAAGAATCAAATTCAGGTAATACAAATCCGATGGTCGAACTTACTATTTGGGAGTTAGCCGCGGCACCCACTGAACAAGGACCTATGTGCATTGATTTTCCCCAAGGCGAAACTCCATACCAGCTGAAAATTGGCCTTATTCATCTCCTCCCTAGATTCCACGGATTGTCG